CCCCAAAACCCCAAAACCCCAAAACCCCAAAACCCCGTAAAAATACAGCCTAATTGAATTTGGCAATAATATTTCAGCAATTATTTCCCATTGGTGAAATTGATGTGAGTAAAGTTGAAGCCCATAAGCACATACATGATATTTTCTTTGTTTATTGGTCAGACTTTCTCCTCTCAATCTCTTTAGTGCTGATAATCATATGTTGGACCTATAGAGTAGTGGTTAGAGTACCTGGTTGAGTGTGTTTAGTATTTCTAGCTCGGGTGTTCATCCCATGTCGGCCATAATATCTTCAAGAGTCTTTCCTTTGGGAAGATTCTTTTGAATCTCCTCTAAAATATACTCTTCAACCATATTTTTGGATATCAAATTATATGAAATCTGATGGTTTTGAGTCAAAAGCAATTGGAGTAAGTTTAGTATAGCTTTCTTAATTTTTATATCATTTATTAAGAAGCCAGAGAGAATCTTCTCCATCACAAAATTATCATCACTAAGGTACAATGCCAGCTCTTTTAAGTCTTGACTAAAAATTATTAAATAATTTACCTCAGAGTCAGAGTCTCAAGCACTCTTAATTTAACGTCAGAGTCCTTATGAGAGAGAAGATGCGCGATTTGATCGATGTAAATATCCTGGCTAACTTTAATATCATTCTTTGAAAGAAGAATCTTTAGTCAATCTAACAACCTGACAATTATATAACTTTCCTCTTCCTCAATTTTGTATAGCAAATGCAATCAGAGACTATAGAGATTACAAGGCATGAAGTTTACTCTCCTAAAGACTCTCTTTCTTTGCCCACCCATGAGCTAAGGATGCTTACCAAGAAATCCATTGCTGCCTTTTTAACCTTTTCATTCTCTGACCTAACAAGTTCTGATAAGATCTGGAATACTTTCATCGCAGAGGAGTGTAGGAACTCTCTGTATTTACTATTAAGAGCTTCTAGGCACTTAATGCCGATCAAGATTCTGTCTACCTCGCTGCTGCGCAATTGATCAAAAATAATCTTGATAATTTCCTTAGATTTTTTCATAAGACCTTTATATCCTTTTAAAAACTCAGAACTAAGTCACAGACTAGGAAGAATTTGAACCATAATGATACTGTTCTGCTCTCTTTTTACTAGCTTTTTATAACAACTCAGGTTCATGTTCTCCACCAAATATTGAAGAGCTTCCTTAGAGTTTTGAGTGATTTGGAGGATACACCTAGAAACTATTAACTTTAGAAACCCTTGGAGATCATTTTTATACGATTCAGGCACGAATGGAAAATCTCCAACCTCTGCTCCATTGATAGTGAAGTATTTTGATAAGTTTATCATCTATAATCATGAGTTTACTAAAGCTTATTACCAAATCTAGCAAAGTGATCACTATCACACTGCACTCAGGGATGGAAGCAATACGGGGAGACTTGCTTATATTCTCAAGAATAATGAGCCCATATAAGAAATTGTCCAACCTAGAACTTGCCAAAGAAGTTGTACACTTCTGAAACATTGCATTACAAAATTTCTTAATAGCAAAAGATCCTATTTTCTGGTCTAAAAAGAAAGTACTAATGAGTATCCCTGCAGAGTTTGATATTTCTGGGTTCATACTTTTCAGCAAGATCTTCAATTTGGCCAGACAAGACTTCTTTCTGATGCAACTCATTACTGATGGATCTTGTCGATTAACAAGTGCTAAGGCAAGAGATAGATTCTTCAAAGTTTCCTGAGAAACACCCTCGTATTTAGACGGATTTACAACAATTCTAATCATGCTTTTGATTAGTTCACCTTGTGATTTAAATAAATTTATTCATCATAGGTTGGTTCTCAGCAAGACTGTAAATAATCATACTCTTAAACGTTAAGATCGTGTTGTTGCTCATCAAGGAGCGCTGGGCCCTAGAAAGACCCTTACTAAGGCTCAGGCCTTTCATTCATACTATCTTGCTTATATGAACAACAGGTTTGTCTTTTGAAGGGCTTTGTTTTGATCCAAATTTCTCTAAAAATTAAGCGCACACCGACCTTTAATTTCTTCTTTTTTGAGACTATTAAAATTTATTAAGTTATTTAAGCAATCTTAGACATAGCTCATGAAGCTGGGGGATGTCATTAAATTCGATAAGAATTCAATCTAATGCTTGAGAAACTTCTCCAAAATCTTGGAACTGTTTTGTGGCTGGCAAAAATGTTGAATATCATATCAAAATCGATAGCATATGCTTAAATCTTTCAATTCTTATTGGGTCATGACTCATATAATCACTAATCATCGATTTCATTGGAGAGAATTCGAAATCACTTCCTGATTCAAATGGTTTCTCATCAGAATTAGCATCTTCCTCTCCAAGAAGCTCTTCTTGTATTGATTCCTTGATTGGACTTCCAAGAGGAAGGACTAGTGAATTCCTCTTCTGAAATTGAGCGAAGGTAAAACCTGAAGACTTGCTCTGAATTTCATTAAGTAAAAGAGGAACTGCACCATTGGCGAAATATCTCTGGCGCATTATCTTGTCACCAATGATTTGGTTCTTAACAATCTTCCAATCTTCGCAGGTGATCTCTTCCTTTTCAAATGAAATGATCTGCTCCCCAAACATGGTTGGTATCTTTCAATATTATTTAATTCATTGGGGTTTTGGGGTTTTGGGGTTTTGGGG